AAAAGAAAAAAAATTACTTAGGAATAAATTTAACCAAAATAACAAAACATCTGTACACTAAAAACAATAAAATATTGATTAAATGAATTGGAAAATATTCAAATAAATGAAAATATATCCCATGTTTATGTATCAAAAGAATTAATATTGTCAAAATGTCCATGCTACTAAAAGCAATCTACATCTGTCTTGCAGTCGAATTTAATGCAATCCTTATGAAAATTCTTATGGCATTTTTCACAGAAATAGAAAAAAACTATTCTAAAAATTCACACAGAACTACAAAAGATTCCAAATAGCTAAGGCAATTTTGAACAAGAAGAAAAAAGCTGATGGCATCACACTTCCTGATTCCAAATTATATTACAATGCCATAATAATCAAGCATGGTCCTTGTATAAAAACAGAAACATAGACCAGTGGAACATAATAGAAAGCACAGAAATAAACCCATACACATATAGTAAGTAGTCTATAAGAAAAGTGACAAGAATATACAATGGGAAAATAGAATCTCTTCAATAAGTGGTGTTAAATAACTGGATATCCACATGCAAAGCAAAATGAAATTGGGCTCCTATATCATGTACAAAAATCACAATGGAAGAAAATATTTCTAAACTATATAACTGATAAGGAGTTAATATCCAAACTACCTAAAAAATTCATACAACTCAACAGCAAAAACAAAAAACAACAACAACAAAGAATCCAATTTTAAGAGGGGCAAAATATCTGAATAGACATCTTTTTTCCAAAGAAGACATAGACAACAGGTATGTGAAAAATCACCCACTATCATTAATGATCAGAAAAATGCAAATCAAAACTATGATGATATATTACTTCTCATCTGTTAGGATATCTATTAACAAAAGTTATAAGATAGCAAGTGTCGGTGAGGATGTAGAGAAAAGGGAACTCTTAGACACTGTTGGTAGGAATGTAAATTGATGCAATCCTTATGAAAAACCCTTATGAAAGAGAGCATGGAGGTTGCTTAAAAATTAAAAATATAATTATCTGTATGATCCAGCAATCCCAGTTCTGGGTGTATATCCAGGGGCACGACGCCATGAAAAAAAAAAAATGACTGGAAAGCATCAAGAGCAACATTTTTTATGAAGAGATCAATTTTTATTTTTGTTTCATCTTATGGCAAGATTATATTAAAGTCCTTTATGAAACCTATGGATTCAACAAGACTTGTGGTTTTGAATCATAGTTTCTTCTGTTATGAAGCCAATGCAATAAAAAAACACACAGCTCAAACAGTTGGTAAAGTTTTATATTTTTCTTCCAAAAGTTGAAACAGGAAATTGGGACTAGCACTCTGTAACTGATATTTCACATCTCTGCCTGTGCCTCTAGAAGCTGTTCTACCTCCCTTTGAAACTATACGCCACAGAATGGATTTAACCAGATAATTAAGGCAGCAACAGTTTCACGGTTTTGTGTTTCTTTTCCGTGTTCTTTTTTGTTCTCTTTTGCCTCTGAGGTCGCAGTGTTTCTCTCTGATCTCAGATTTGGGGGCAATGTGGGGAAAGCCCTGGCCACTGAAATCAGACCAGCTTAGGTAAAATCACAGTTCAATCCTTAATTTTGTATTCTCACCCAGGCTGCTTATGCTCTTTAATTTTTCATATCTATAAATTGGAAATTGCAGCCTCTTCCTTGCAGGTTTAGTGTGTTTGATGGGTAGTATAATACCGGTGGTGAACATTATGGTCTCAAGAAGTAGTCGCTGTGTTCTGCCACTTTACAGCTAGGTACTCATGAGTAGGTTATCTCCCTTTCAATTTCCTCCATAAAACTGGGATAATAAAGGCATTAATCCTGCTCCACATACAACATCTATTCACCTATGATGGACCAGGCACTCTTCTAGACTCTTAAAACATTAAAAGATTAAGTAAGATAAAATACGCATGAGTGGCCAGTTGTAATATTGTGCCTATATATCACCTCCCTTTCTTGTAAAGATTTTCTATCTCCCCTACCCTTGACCAGCTTCCTATAGGTGGAAAATACATCTATGCCCCATTGTTAGGCTCTGATCAATGGATAATGAACATGAACAGACACAATGAGATGTATACCATGTCCCAATTGAAATTTTGAATATGCTTTTTACATAGACCTATGAATAAGATCTGTCTGTCTACATATCTGTCTATCTCTTTGCTCTTATTGTTCCATGCCAACCCACACACTTGAGGGCAAGAAATAAATGGGTCTGTAGTCATAAGCTACTGATACTTGGCTTTCAACAAAAGCTGACTGACACATAATATGGTATTTGGCACATAGAGATATTTAATATATTAGCAATATTAAAACTAAACTAAAATATATAACAAAAATACATAAAACATCCAAAATATTGTCATCCCTCTACTTATCCATCCAACAAATATTTATTGAGTACTAGTATATGTCAGATACTGTTTTAGGTGCTAGAGATGAAACAGTGAACAGGTGATGTACCTGATCTCATGCAACTAACATCATTTTGGGGGAAAACAGAAATATAACTAAGAGGGTGGTAGGTGTTGTAGAGAAAAATAACACCAGAAATGGAAATAGAAAATGCTAGATAAGAAAGAAACTATGTATGTGTTGTGTTCAGAGAAGGCTTCCCTGAAGAAGAAACTCTGGCAGAGATCAGAAGGAAATAAGGGAGGGAATCAGATAGACATCTGTGGGAAACCTGTTCTAGGAACAGGGAAAAGCAGTTGGAAAAGCCCTTACCATATGATCAGTTTGGCTGTGTCCCTACTCAAATCTCATCTTAAATTATAGTTGCCACAATCCCCACATGTCATGAGAGTGACCCAATGAGAGGTACTTGAATCATGGGGATGGATCTTTTCCATACTGTTCTTGTGAAAGTGAGTAAGTCTTACAATATATGATGGTTTTATAAAGGAGAGTTCTGGCCAGATATGGTAGATCACAGCTGTAATCCCAGCACTTTGGGAGGCCAAGACGTGTGGATCACCTGAGGTTAGGAGTTCACAACCAGCCTGACCTACATGGTAAAGCCCCATCTCTACTAAAAATATAAAAATTAGCCAGGTGTGGTGGCAGGTGCCTGTAATCCCAGCTACTTGGGAGGCTGAGACAAAAGAATCACTTGAACCTGGGAGGCAGAGGTTGCAGTGAGCCAAGATTGCACCATTGCACTCCAGCCTGGGCAACAAGAGCAAAACTCCTCCTCCTAAAAAAAATAAAAAGAGAGAGAGAGAAAAGAAAAGAAAAACAAAAGGGGAGTTCCCCTGAACCCACTCTCATTGCCTGCCACCATGTAAGATGTGACTTTGCTCCTCCTTCACCTTCCACCATGATTGTGAGGCCTTCCCAGCCATGTGGAACTGTGAGTCAATTAAACCACTTTCCTACATAAATTGCTCAGTCTTGGGTATGTCTTTATTAGCAGTGTGAGAATGGACGAATACACCATGAATTGGCTGAAGTGCTCTAGTATTAGCTCAGAGGCCGTTGCAGGAAGGAAAAGTAAGTGAGATACACACTGCTGAAAGGTGAATTCAAGAGGTAGAAGGGGTCAGTCATTTATTCCTTGGAAGCTATCATTAGTTTGAGTTTTGCCCTAAATGAGATAGAAATTCAGAGGAAGATTCTGACAATAGCACAACACAATCTCATCTAAGTTAGAAAAGGAATATGTGGGCTGCTGTTTTCAGAACACAGTGCTCAAGAGTAGGAGCCGAGAGATCATTTAAAAAGCAATTACAATAATTCGTGCATACACACTGGTTGCTTGGACCAAGTGGGAAGTGGTGAGGGCAATAAGAAGTGGGTTCTAAACCAGATTTGTTAATATAAACCAAATTTATTAATATGGAACAAGCAGCTAGACATAAACTGTCGTTTGCTCAGATAGGGAGGTGTGCAGGCATGACAGAATTGAGAGGCAACATGCAATCAGGAATTCACTTTTAGGCACTGAGAGGTAAGGGTCAATTTGTTCAATTCTGCCTCTCATTTTGCTGGCCTTCAAGAGAGGGACTTGGCTATCTCCAGAGTTCCATGAGGGGAGGGAAGGATCAGAGCTGCATCACATAGCTACAACTGAAAAGACTGCAATCAGCCTCATCCTCTGATTCTGCCAACAATAAAGTTGATGCTCTGCTCAGCAATTGAGACTAAGATGATGGAGCAGGGATTGAGGTTAAGTTTTCAGCAACAGAGTACTGTTGGGTCCCAACCTGTGATCACTCCAGGGAGGAGATCATGTTCCCTCTTGTCACGCACTTTAAGAGCGCTCAGTCTCAGTGCCAAACTCTGAGTTTAATACCCAGTCTTCCTAGATCACTATGTATTTCTCAGAATGGGATTCTCCTAATAACACCATTCAAGGCCTGGGTTGTGTTCATTTTAGGTTATTTTCTAGCATTATCTTTAAGATGCCTACTAGACTTCCAGGTTGAGCCAGTGAGTAGGTAGTTAGTATGTAAGTCTGGAGTTCAGGGGAAAAGTTTGAAAATGGATATATAAGTCTGGAAAAAATGTCATTTATGTCATTTTAATAGACATAAACCTATTAATATAGTGAAGAAATGGTTGACAATAATCCTTAGAAATACTTTAAGTGTTTCCTTAGAGTAAAATACCACTGAAGGTAACTGAGAAGTTAATCAAGTATCCAATACAGTGTAATTATAAGACAAATGGTTTTGGTTATTTTAACTCCTTAAATATAATGGAATAACATTTCAACTTCAGACATGACTTTCTAGTATTTTGCACGTGATAAGACATAGACATAAGTGATTCAAATATCTTGACGATGTTGACACTTTAAAACTAATTACTAGCAAAGATCTAAAAAAATTCTTTTCCAGAGATAATCGATTTGAGAAAAAGAATAAAGGCAAGGTCACGCTGGAAATTTCGCAGAAATGAAATATTGATTTCCTTGGAAGTTTTCCAAGTAAACAGATTTAGAAATAACCCCAAATTGAAATGTTCTCTCTTACCAGGGTAGAGGGTGCAGTCCATGAATGACAGATCATCAATCGCAATATCTCCAGTGAAGCCATCTCCCACTGAAGCCTCCATCAATATCTAAAAAAAAATAATAAATTTCTTTATGTGGCAAAATAAATTTAGTTATTAAATGGTTAAAGAGGAATTTAGAATGTACCCAAATATAACACTCTTCTGTGCCATTAAAAAAATACTTTCCAGTAGTCTCTGTAAGTGATCATCTCACCTTGAATACTTCTAGTAATGACAATCTCCATACTTCATTGAGCCAGTTAGATCCATGGAGCTCACTGTGTTTCTGATGAGTTTCCATTTTTGAAATTTCAGCACATTAATTAATATCCACTGCTCTATAACTTTCAACCATTAGTTCTAGATTGGCATTGTTTTCTTCTGGTCCTTTAAGTATCTGAAGGCAAATAATTGTCCCCTGATCCCCTTAGGTTATCTGTTTCCCACGTTAAACCCACTCGGTCACCTAGAAACCCAATTTGCTACTGGAACTACTTGCTAGGATATACATTTTTAAGGGCTTTAGAACATTTCACACTTGACTCTGATTCTGTAACACTTTATGAAACTGGCTAATCATGATTAGATCTCCTTCAGGGCCACATTAATCAAAGAGAAATCAGATGACATTTGTGCTGTCACAGGAGCTGCAGTTCCACCAAAACTTTAGTAAAATATGAAATACCACATATAGACAAACCACTGTATTATAGGGTAGATTGTGATTACAGCTGAGATTTACTGTAACAGAATTAATCATGGTGAATTATTTTAATACTTTCTCAAATGTGTTGCATGCTTACTAGCAATCTCACCATAATTTAATAACATAGAACTTCTCGCAAACTCAAGCTTAGAAAAACACATTAAGTTTTTCCATTATTATATGAACATATGTTTTCACTTCATTTTCCTGAAAAATGTTATCTGTTGGAGTTGAAGTTTTACTTTTCAAGCTCTATTCTTCATTAAAAGTTATCACATACATTATTTGTTGACATCACCCTTGAAGACGAAAGTTTTAAAAGGTCAAATTGCTGACCTCAAACCTCTTAACACCTTTCCCTAACTTGCTACTCTTTCTTGAGGTCTACCAGGATTTTCTCCCTTGTCACTAAGGAAATTAAGTAATTTGGAAAATGTGTCTTCATAGAACTAGCAGGCACATATAGACCACCTGACATTGTTTGAACAACATTTAATGGTGTTATATAAGAAGTGCCCTGCTGTTTCACAAAGAGTCTCTCCAAACATAAAATGCATCCTTTTTCCCACCACCATCATGAATGAAAGATATTATAGGCAGAGAAAACAAAAATGTTAAAGAATGTTTAGTACAAAATCATACAACTGTTTTCAACAAACATAAACCAGCAGATAGAATTTGAAAGAACATACTACAGGAAAATGTATTCTATTTTTAAAAACAGAGTTGGGTGAACAATGGGGAAGTGGCACAAATATAAATTAATCACTAACGAATATCCTATGCCAATACATGTAAATCATATTGCAACACAACACAGAACATGCTAACAAAATCTCAGAAGATACAGCAAGAGAAGGAAAAAACTAGAATAAAAATAAATACTATTGACTTGGCCACACTGCTCATGATTACCATTACCTTATTAACGAGAAAGAATAGAGAATTGATATTAACATCCCAGTTCATAGGGAGTGAGGTTACTCTACATATAAATAGCTGTAAACCAACTTTAGGGATATATACACATTCATAGCTCCATTCTGGTGTTTAGACTCAACTGTTCCAATACTTCTCTTTATATAGTCACAAATTAAATAGTTGACTATGAAATTTCAGAAAAATTCTGTAACCCAGAGAGGGTCATAGCAGGTTAGCAGAACTTATGAGAGAATATGATTTACACAAGGCATTTTTCTTTTGGCATTTACTTCACATTGCATGAGAAGTATTTTAATACTGCTTTTATCTGCAGTCAAAGGCAATGGGAAGAAATAGAAACAACTGAAAATAGAAGACAGTTGGATATTGCTCTAATACTAAATTTAATAATAATTTTTATCAAAATATCTTCAATTTGCTAACTCCTAAATGTTAGCATTCTTGAGAATTAATAAACAATAGTTACAATTTGAGACACTGAAATTGTCCATCTGTATGTACAACTGCAGTCTCAGTCTCTTGATTATTTAGGAAAAGCATTTTTCTGAGACTACTCAAACAATCTATTTTTCAATTCAGAACGAAGAACAATCTTCTCTTGCTATCCACTTATAATTTCCTAGAGGACAAATATTTATGCTCTGTCTTATACTTGTTATCTTATTTTTCATTGGATTTTCCAATAATTAAAAATGCACAAACAGAATGAAAGGCATTATATGAATCTCTCCTATAGCCCATTTTAACAACTATGTGTTAAGTAGTTAAACTCTTCTAAATGCATTCAAACAACTATCTAATATTTCACCACATGACCTACAATTGTTGGGAGCTTTTAGAACATCAGTTTGGAATTGAAAACATTTTAGGCCAATACTTAGGGAAATATTTGCTGGATACAATATAAAAAGGTTTTTAAATCATCTTTACAATTGTTTACATAACCCTGAAACCAATCTCTATGAAATAAAACTCCGATTTGGCCTGACAAATGTTATGTATCTCACTCTGTAGCTAACTCTATCACTTACACAAAACTGCAGAATAATTGGAGTTTTTCAATTATTATAGGAGACATATGAAAACCATTTATCATGAAACAAGGGCCATAAGTGCCATATTAAAACTGTGCAAGAAACTGGGCACTGAAATGGATAATAAAAATAACACTGTGATAATAGTAGAGACAAAGTAAAAGGCTGGAATAGGTAGTCAACAACTGTAAGAGGGTTACTAAAATGGCAAAAATATGATGTCTACCAAATCTGACTGTGTTCTTATTTTGGGAAAAAATCATGACAAAATTTATGTTGATCTTCTGGCTTCATATTTTATTTCTTCTTAGCTAATGTCTGGCTTCCAGCTTGCTGAAAATCTGATTCAGAAAAGAAAAATGAGTGCCTACTTAGGCATTGTGCCAAGTGTTTCCATGGTTACCAGGAAGAAATAAATTCATCCCTATCCTTGAATATCTCACCATTTATGAAAGAGGAGAATAAATAGTGACCCTTGGGCTGGACCCAGTCCATAAGAGTTTAGTTTAACTCCATCAGAGCTCTTGAGTACCAGTGTCTGCAACAGCTGAAGAGCAATGTTGCCTTGTGAGATACTGCTTTTGTGAGATACTGCGAGATAGGATATCTCACAAGGAGACACTGCTCTTCAGCTGTTGCAGACACTAGTACTCCCTATTAGGTACCCACAAAAAGGTTGTCAGTTGCCATTCATTATTTTAAACCTCACCTACTATATTAGTTGGTTCTCACATGGCTATAAAGAATTGCATGAAACTGAGTAATCTGTAAAGAACAGTAGTTTCAGCCAGGCACAGTGGCTCACACCTGTAATCCCAGCACTTTGGGAGGCTGAGGCAGGCAGATCACCTGAGGTAAGGGTTTGAGACAAGCCTGCCTTGGTGAAACCCTGTTTCTACTAAAAATACAAAAAATTAGCCAGGTGTGGTGGCGCACCCATAATCTAGCTACTTGAAAAGCTGAGGCAGGAAAATCACTCAAAGCTGGCAGGCAGAGGTTGCAGTGAGCCAAGATTGTGCCATTGCACTCCAGCTTGGGAAACAAGAATGAAAGAAAGAAAAGGTGGAAAGGAAAGGAAAGGGGAAAGGGGAAAGGTGAAAGAGGAGAAAAGAGAAAAGGAAAGGAAAGGAAAGGGGAAAGGAAAGGGGAAAAGAAAGGTAAGGAAAGAGGAAAGGAAAAAGGAAAGGAAAGAGGAAAGGAAGGAGAGGGGAGGGAGGGGAGGGGAGGGAAGGGGAGGGGAGGAGAGGGGAGGGGAGGGGAGGGAAGGGAGAGGAGAGGGGAGGGGAGGGGAGGGGAGGGGAGGGGAGGGAGGGGAGGGGAGGGGAGGGGAGGGGAGAGGAGAGGAGAGGAGAGGAGAGGAGAGGAGAGGAGAGGAGAGGAGAGGAGAGGAGAGGAGAGGAGAGGAGAGAAGAAGGGAGGGGAGGAGAGGTTTCATTGATTCACAGTTCCACAGGCTGTTTAAGAAGCATGGCTTGGGAGGCCTCAGAAAACGTATAATCATGGCAGAAGGCAAAGGGAAGCCAGCATTTCCTGTGTGGCTAGAGCAGGAGGAAGAGAATGAAGAGGGAAGGGGGAAAGTGCTACACACTTTTAAACAACCAGACCTCATGAGAACTCATTATCATGAGAACAGCAAGGAGGAATCATCCCCCATGTATCAAATCACCTCACACCAGGTCCCTCCCCCAACACTGGATATTATAAATCAACATGAGATTTGGGTGGGGACACAGACCTAAACCATATCACCTACTTCTTTCAATCAATGTCCCAGGGCTGGTTCCCATAGTTATTTGGGTTTGCCATTCCTTGTGTAGTTTAACTCAGAAAGCATGAAGGGCCTTAGATTTTATCCTACTTGGAAGCTAATGAGTTTGCCACTATTTCATATACATGCAGTGAGATAAGACACTAGGCCTCTGAGACAGAAAGACAGGAAAAACAACAACCAGAGAAGCACTTTCCATTTCCATAGCACAACATGAGGAGGGCTGGATGTTTACTTGTGTGTGCAATATATATCACCCAGAGGAGAAGAATCAAAAATGGGGAGACCCTAGCTGGAATACGCTGCTGGCGTGTCTGCCCATTCTCCCCTCCAGATAAAGAGAGGTGGCAAGGAAAGCTTATTTTTTACTCTGGAATGTAAGCAAATGTCTCAAGGTAAAGGCCATTTAAATATGCCCTTTGCTCAAAGGCTGAACTGTGTGAAACAGAAGAAATCCATGAGAATTATCTCCAAACAGGGCAGCTTGATGGTGCTATATAATCAAAATATTTCATTTGTGGCATTTTATCTTTTAATTCTTTTCTAATATATCTGTACATCAGAATGTTTAAGTCAATTCAGCTTCCCTTTCCCTTATAAAATGTTTCATTTTATA